AATTATCTTGTGTGTGACCGGAATGCGGGCACTATCACACCGGAGGCAACAGCGGTGCTCAGAGCACCCCTGAAACCCGACGTTGGCGTCGACGCCGAACTTCTAATTAACATCGCGTATCGTGTTACACGCAAATCAAGCGTGCTAAGTCGCAAAGGTTATCACTTGATTAAAATAACGCTGTAGCACCTAAATATTGACTAACGATGATATAACCAGGGATGATCGGTGGCCAAACGAAGCACTTTAAAAAAAGCTCTAATTTCCCAGGCCGAACACGTTCAGCACACACCAAGCCTGCACAAAATCAAATCGAGCTTCCAGATGTCCACCCTCAGAAAGGTAAATAAAGGTTTATAAAAGATAAGAGAAGTTTTTTATTTTGTTTTATCATAAATAAGAGAAGTTGGTGATGTAAAAGAACCAAAGAAACACCCGTTATTAACTCAAATGGGAGTTTGCAGTGCAAATTAGTTAGCAACTTAATCGAAGAAAAGTTGGCCATAACCGTAATTAAGGTTGGTGATCTCTAAAAATAGGTCATGAGTTTAAAAAAGTTGATAAACAAGGAAAGTAAAAATGGTAACTAAGGAAAATTTCATAAGTTTAGGAAAATAAATATTAATGTTTGTAAGTTGCTCAAATATGTCAGTAACCCAAAACTAATCGATGATCTAACAGAAAAACAAAAAAAAGTTGATAAATTACACAAAAAGTTGGAAATTTCATATAATAGTTGATAAATTTTAAGATCTTGGTAAGAAAGGTAAATAACAATTGGCAAACGATAAGAAGAGTTTTTTTTTAAAAGATAAGATAAGTTGTTGATTTTATAAGCCAAATAACCATTGGCATAACTGACTCAAATAAGAGTTGGTAAAGTAAGATTAGTCGGCGACGTAATAGGAGAAAAGTCGGTAAACATTCTGGTTGAGGTTAGTAATTACTAAAAATGGTTGGTAAGTTAAGATAAATAAGAGTGCTAACTTCGTATCAAAGTTGATAAATTGAAAAAATAACAACTAAATGTTGGTAAGTAAAACGAGAGTCGGTAACTCAAAACTTGTTTATAACTTAATCGACGAAAAAATGGTACGCACTCAATTAATGTTGGTAATTCTATATAATAGTTGATAATTTAACGCGATGGTAAGGAAGATTAATAAAAGTTTGTAAAATACAAGATGAATTCTTTTCTTGCTATAGATAAGAAATGTTGGTAATTTAAAAATAAACAAATAAACGGAAGTTACTAACTCGAGCAAGAGTCGATAACGCATAATTAATTGGTAATTTAATCTAAAAAAAAGTTGATAATCGCTCTAATAAAGGTTAGCCGTGAACTGCTCTCCCGACTGCGTAAATAGATACTGCGTATATCACAAAATTTCTTGAAAGGTACTTCAAGATAGTGGTCCAAATGGGAGGGACACAACGTGGCAAAAGAAGAAAAGGGGAACAAAAGAAGGAGATATTACGTGAAAAATGAAAATAGTTGCGAAATATCACAAAATTTCTTCAGATGTTTTATTATGTTCGGTGATAATATACCATTGGACATAGACGTTTCAAATGCGAAAGATCGACCGGATTCGACGGTTCAGATGCGAACATGCGCGTGAAATAACAGTTCACAGTGTTTGTGAACAAATCAAACTCGAATGGCAAATTTATCGGATTGTCGTTGCAGAGATGTGAGCATAGAAGTAGAGGCTTTTTGATTTCTGATGCATGTATGACTAATTCATTTAGTTGTTTGCTTATGTTATTCTGTTTTTTTCGCGAGGTATTTAGGGAATGCTGAAGTTTTTGTCGATTGTCAAAATAGCGTACGAACTCGTCGCAATCCGAATTTCTTATCCGATGATAAGTCACGCCACGTTGTCTCTTCGGTCCATCTCGTGACCCTCCTTGTCTAGCCTGATTCAGGATGTCGGAAATTTATTTTGATTTCAAACGTCGCGATTACCTAATCTCTATCGAGACATTATACACATTCTCTTGCGTTCCTCGACCGTAGCGCACTATGAAGAGCGGTTGAAACGCTTGATTCCATTCAATGTAGGCCTCCCACATGGTCTCGTTTAATACAGGTCGTGGACAAACTGGGCACGCCTATCTCGACAAAGAAGCAGGCAGCTGATGGGCATTTACACTTCATGATCGACGTACAGTGATCTCAACGAGATGTCTCGAGGAAGATTGCTTGATTTTGTTTTTCAATCAAATTCGTCAAAACAACATTCTTATCATATTTTTCAAAACATCCTTTGATCCTGAAACCGATCGTCTCTACTTTTGTCGATGCCTCCAAAATCCGAGGAGGAAAAATATGAATTTGCTTACAAATGCAGTGGCCGATTTAATTTAATTTTTTTGTTTTTTGTTATTGAAAGAAATGTCAGGAATCTCCCCCACGATAAAAGGGAGGGACCCAATCTGAAGGTATTATTGGGGGGAGTATCTTTCCCGGACCATGAAAGATCTCCTCACCGCGCAATTACCAATCTGCCCCCTTGGACCGACCGGTCATCCCTCCCTTTCCCTGCATTAACGGAGGAGGCCGCGTGTTTATTCCGGCCACCGCCGAAGAAGCGCACGTCGCCCGTCCGCTCGCGCCTCCGATCAAAATAAGCCGACTGCCCCCTGATTGTAGACGTGGCCACGGGCTGGTTTCGGCCCGGAACGGGCCTGGGTCAAATCCGGGACCGGCATGTTGACCGGGCTCATGGTTCGGAATCGGAACCGGCCCGTGGCCTACAGGCCCGGTTCCAAAAAAAAAAATTGCAGATAAGTGGAGAAACTCTTTTTTTTCCCCAAATTTGATTACAATGTACATTTTGATTACATTTTATATTGAATAATTCATTCTTTCATAATTTGATAATTCATTATTTTTTTTTAAATTTTTACCGGCCTGTTCCGAACCAGGCCGAAATCGGAACCGGCCCGGAACCGCCGGTTCCGTTTCATACATGGCCACGAACCGGAATCGCCGGTTCCGAACCATGATCATGTCTACCTGATTGTCTCCCATCGTAATTACTGTTGGTGTTCGGGGGCATTATCGTCTTTGCGGCGTGAACTTATCCGGATCCCTTCATTTGGTAGTCGGTACTTTCTAGTGGGGGGGAGTGCTGAGCTAAACATCTTTTTGGTCGGCCGTAATGGGAAGTTGGACAAATAACATGGTACAAATTTTATGTGGCATGAATTCAATTTTTTTTTTCCAAATGATTGTTTATATTATCCAAAATAATTAGTCGATGAAAAATATTTTATCGATCGTGTCTGGATATTTTGTTGGATGATGAAATATTTTTTCGTTCTTCCATATTCATAAGCGATATAAACGATTATTTTATATCATTCATTTTTTCTTGAAACAAACGTATCCTAAGATGAAAGATACTTACTCATGTTTAAGCACCTAACAAGAATTTTACGTGTTCACTTTGCAAAATATTGATTCCATAGAAAATTTGGTGCCGTTTTGCTCTCATCAATCTTTCCAAGAGTGTTAATGTATCCCATCGATTCAAATGTTCAGATTCAGTCGAGATCATATACGAAAATATGCAATCGATGAGAAGTGAGCATGCGTGTATAATATTTAGAATTGGACCCGCCCGTTTCATTTAGTGACACAATCCACGCCCGATTTTCTATGTTGTCAAGGAAAAGCTCTTTTTTTTTTTTTCATTTGACACAAAAAAAAAAGTTCACGAGTTTTCCTATTTAGGCTGTCGAGGAGATTTGGACTCGTGTTTTACCTGATTTACGCGATTAGTACGTTATTTAAAAGGGTGTAAGATTTTTTTTTTATGATAAGTTTTTCTCGTCTTATAAGAAGTCGAAATCGATAGGTCGATGTGTTAGTGAAAGCTTCGCAACGTTCTCACCCAGTGCGAAAGATAAACCCACCATACTAATAATGTTTTTACCAATCTCGGCCGAATTCGAAATCATATAAAGATAAATCTCTTTGCTAGAAACTAAGGGTGCGAATAAAAACCATTATTCTCTCTATCTCAATTTCTAGTCAGAAATAGATTTTTTTATTCTATTATCTGGACGAGTTTCTGAGTAGAAAGTAATATTTGATATTGACACAAATTTTTAGTTCTCAGAATAGAAATTCGTTCGATAAGTTATATTTAAATTTCTGTTCCCGTCAACCAGTGGGCAGCGGTGGACGACCGGCGGGCGAGTGGCCGATGGCAATGGGGGGTGGCGGGGGCGAGCAAAAAAAAGAGCTATAATTTTTGATTTTGTCATAAACATAAAAAAGTAAAAAAAAATTACTTCTTGTTTCTATTCCAAATCTGTTTCTAGGTTAAAAATTTGTCCCGATTATCAAATGGATTTCTGTTCAAAATCTGTTTACGGTAATAGAAAACATAGGAAAAATAAGGAAATAAAATAGTTATCATTCGCGCCTTGATCTAGCCTAATCACGTGACAACACGAGCACGGCTCGATACTGTACCTAGTAAGTCTTCCTTTTTTTGTTTCGGTGGGGGGTGTTTGAAGATTATATGGTAATTAGTGACATAAACAGTATCCAACCTCGCTCTCGGTATGCCTCATTAATAAAACAGATGGAGCTAATCCCCCAAGCCCTCATTAAAACAAATCCGAAATTGGTAATGACAGTGGATGAGCCTCTTGATAGAGCGTCCACGTCACCCGTCCACCCACCCAAAATTACCTCCATAGCCATGATACACCGCAATGCTTGCAGAGAAAGAGAGTAGAAGAGAGAGAGAGAGAGAGAGAGAGGAGCACGAGCAGCGGAGACGATGCCTCGTCCGATCCTGCTCCTTTATTTACGTTTCGGCACCCGCCATTGATTTCCGACCCATCCGAACTCGGCCGACGTGGTATCTGGAAGTAATAGCCCGGGAAACGACAAGATAGGGGGTGGGGGTTGGGGGGGCCGTAACCGCTCCCCGTCTGGTCCCGCATTCTTGTTCTTCTGTTCTTTGTTTCTTGTTTTCTTGGTTCTGGCGTGTGTGTGTGTTTGGGTTGTGTGCGGATTCTTGCGTTTCTTGGGGTTGTCTTCTGCTGTTCCATGGTGACGATGGACGACAACGAGAGCTGTGGGAGCAGAGTCCACGAGGCGTCCTCCTCCCCCGCGAGGAACAGGCGGCAGCGGCAGAAGATGGAGGTGTACGCCGAGATTCTGCGGCGGCTCAAGGACTCGGGCCTCGAGGAGCCGCACAGGCCGGGCTTCGACGACGAGCTCTGGGCTCACTTCAATCGCCTCCCCTCTCGGTGACCTCCCTTAACCTAAAACTCGGTCGCTCCCCTCCCGTCGGTCCTGTGTCGTGCCCGCATTATGGATAGGGCCGTGCGCGGTACGATGTTTTTCGCGCGGCACGTTACGGGAGGGTGAGAAGTTTGTTTTTTTTTTCTTTTTTGTTTTACCCAGCTGAGTATTTTCTTGGATTCTTGTTTCGGAGATCCGTGTCGGATTCGCCGAGTTTTTTCGCATTGTGGGTTCGTTTCATGTTTTTGCTCCATCGTCTCTTTGATTTCTCGAATTCGCCTTTCGGTTTCCGCGAGTTCCCATCAGCTGGGTGAGCTCGAGCTGTCTGTGGTTTGGATTTGTTTCACGTGAATTGGTGGGTGAAGTATCGCGCACTAAGTTCTGGAAGATGGAGAAGATACCCATCACGCGCTTTACTCGTTATTCAACTTTTTCTCTTCTTAGCCTCTACTTTACTCTTTCCAGACACTGACTTGTGCTCTTGTTTTTCCCGTCTAAACCTTTTAGCGACTCGTATTCCACTTCATGCGCCATCGAGATTTCGATACTTGATTTTTGTTTTTCGAAATCTCTTTTTCTTTCTGTGGGCAAGAACATTTTCCCGTCTCTTTTCTCGGCTTAAATAGCGATCTTGATTTCTCCGTATTCGATAGTCCGTTGGGTTTGTGTTCGTTATCGGGCTGATAATAGATGTGATTCCTTTGAACGCATACAGATATGCCTTAGATGTCAATGTAGAGCGGGCGGAAGATGTGCTTATGCACCAAAGGTTGCTGCATTTGGCTCACGATCCGGCTAATAGACCGGCCATTGAAGTTCGCCTGGTACAGGTAAATTGGGTCGATCCTCTCCTAATTATACATGTTGAAATCTGCTTATCTTCACGGTAAAGGACTCAGATGCTATGCTACAAATACATCTACAAATTTATATCGAGGGCATGCGACATGTAGCAGGTCGTGCATGTAGATTGAGAACTCGCGATTGCTATGTGGCACATTTGTTTTGCCTAGTATTCATAGTGATTCTATAACCAAGTGTTCACAAGCTACGGAGTTCCTTAGTAATTTAGTCTACAATTTCCTGTACATAATTTTATTTAAGCTAACTAGTAGCAGTTGCAGCGCTTTCTGGTTTTTGCTTGCTAGCAGAGCAGTCTTGCCTCGCTTTAATCAATGAGAATAGCCGGTTTCGTTTTTTTTTCCTCTTCTCTGTTTCCTTGTTTGTTCCTCCGATCTGCTCTCAGCATGACAATTACAGTACTGTAAAATCACGAGAGTATAGGTTGGCTTTATGATATGTGAGGGATCTGCATCCAGTCTTTCCTTGTTGCACCCGAACTTTCTGAGACCTTTTCATGATGCTTCTTGATCGGTAAATAACCGCCGGTTCTTCCACGAATTACTTCCATAGACAGATTTATCAAAGTAGAATAACTTTCTCCAGGTTCTTCCTGCATCTGAGGCGCATTCAAATGATTCCATCCATTCAGATCGTTCCTCGAATGAAGAAGCTACTACCGTTACTTCAGTTAATCATCCCATTAGACAAAGGTATTCCTGCAGACCTGTCAAAGAAAGAACTGAAGGACTCAGTGAGAGTATTTCCTTAGATGGATTGATGTCTTTTTTGCTTTTATCATTTAGATTTTATCTTGTCTTTGATACTAATGACTTCTTGTTCTAATCTTTCAATCAGCATTCATCCACCACCTGCCTTTGGTTCATCACCAAATCTTGAAGCTCTTGCACTTGAAGCTAGTAAATCCCTTGCTAAAGATGGCGATAATTCTGTTCATGCTAATGCACAGTACTCTCGGTAAGAACTCCTGTCTTGAACTAGCTCAGTCATTATAAATTGTTAAACTGATTCCCATTGCGATTATGTCGAGGATGCATTATAGCTCATAGTGATGTTTCTCCAGGAATGATGATCGGATTTTGCTTCTGTCTCGTATGCACATCGCACATGCTGTATTTGTGTTTGTGTCGCATGTTATATGCCTCGCCACCCTCTCTCCTTAGTTTTATTTTCTATAGTTTTTCTTAAGAGACATCAAGCGGCTTGTATAAGCTCTTTTATCGTCCTATTAATCCAATCCAATGTAGTTTGTTAGAGCTGAGTAACTTAGGATTATAGATTTCCAGAATGGCTGTGCTTGACAAAAATCTTTCATTGTAGGTTTAATTTTCTCATTGTAGCTTTCCTAATCCTTTTTGTACTCCCATTAGGTGATTAAAGTGCCTCAAAGCGCCTTTTGCAGCTGGCCAACTTTATTGTCCTCCTTGCGTTTTTTCTTCAGCGCTTCCAGAGCTTAAATTCGAGTTATTAAAATTTTGGCACATATGATGCCTGGATAACACATGTTAGATTTCTTTCTGCACATTATGCATGTTTAACTGTCCCTGTGATAACCAAGATGCAATGGTCCTTTTTACCATCTACCTAGTTGCAGTTCAGTTTGTGGAGATATTTTAATTATCGACTCTTTTGTGCAACTAAAATGTGTACATGATCAACAATGTAGGCCCATGCATGAAATCACCTTATCAACTGATGACAAGCCAAAGCTTCTTAGTCAGGTACCTGATTTTGGTTTTTAGAGAATGTTTACCTTGTTTCTATGTTAAAGAAATGTGGAGGATCTTTACTGCATTTCCTTTCGCATTTACCATGGGCTGGCTATACCTGTTGCTGTAGGTTGACTGTCAGTCCACCGTTCATCTATGAAGGTGATTTATCAACTGTAGCCTGGAATTAATATTTTCCTTCGCATGCTGCCATATTTCCGAAAACGCCTTGAACACAGGCTCAATTGTTGTGGTCTTCTGACTACTTTTCTGTTAATATATTTATCTCCTGTTGTCCCCGATGGAAAACGCATTTCATCAAGTTCTTGCATTGCATCAGAGGAAGCTTATCAAGTCCTCTAGATATCATCAATTATAACTGCAGTATCATAGTGAGTATTGCATTTGTTCATATGAAATTGCATGGTTTAACTGAAATCTCATTGATAACGATTTTGCAAAAGGGGATCCAATCTATGTATTGGGTTGTTCGGTTTTGCTTGATGAATATGCTTATGCGGTGGACCTTGCAGTCTCGGTGTCAGTTTTAATTGAGGATAATGGTTCTATCGTATGACGCATGAATCATGTGAAATTTCTTTTTTTTTTTGTCATTGTAAGTGATATCTCTAATTCCTCAAGCTTACTAACTGTGAAAATTTTGCAGCTGACATCCTTACTTGCTGATATTGGGCTGAACATCCAAGAAGCACATGCCTTTTCCACAGTGGATGGCTATTCATTAGATGTCTTTGTAGTTGATGGTTGGCCATACGAGGTATCTATCCATGGTGATTATCTTGTAAAGTCTACGTAAAGACAATTGCATATGTGTTGTCGTTACATCAAGTGAAATTACCCCACCTTTTGTGGCTTGTGAGGTTTAGGGGCTTTTTCTTTTGTGTCGACAGACATTTTAACAGCGTCTGGAAAAGATTAAAGTACTCGTCTGGACAAGCCTTTGAGAAATATGTACAATCAAAGTTGTAGAAGGTGTAACTGTAATTTCTGTGACAAAAGGGCCGTTGTGTTGGTGTGTTCTACCTTGAAGTTTTTTCATTTATTTATAGAAAGTAAGTTGAGTTATTCTCACTTATTTAAGTATCATATTGGATGATATTCTTAAGTTGGATATTCCGTTTTTAATGATCTTTTCGACTATCGATAAAAAGCACAACATGATTTTCAAGGGAATGCTTGGACTTGCAGGAGACGGAGCATCTAAGAGCTGCACTGGAAAAGGAAGTTTTTAAGATTGAGGTAATTCTCTCGGTTTTTCCATACCAAGATTTTTAATGTCAATGGTATCAGAAAAAGGAAAGACTCAATGTTTTGTGCATCTAAAATGACAGAAAATTATACTAATTGGCAACTTCAGTTTTCGGACCAAAAAAGCATGAAATTACTCGTCACAAAAGGAAGTACATAACTGTGCATTGCAACTTCGTTATTCAGCGTTTCTCTACATTGTCCTCATCTCTGCATATTAGTTCACATGAAGTAGACTTTGCTGTTGCACTGGAGGTATGTAATAAAATTTCACTGATCGAACGGCTATAAAGTCTCTAATCAAAATTAGATTCATATGGCTTTGTTGTCATGCTCTAAGCAGCTCTTTTTGTAAAGGTAACAGAAATTGGTTTTCGCTCTCAGCAAATTTGTTTGTGTTTGATTGAATGGAGATGAATATTTTCGGTTGGCCTCTTACTATGGATTCTAAGGGAGAAGACTCCATCTGCTCCCAATTCTGGGTAGTCTCCCAGTGACGTCTTTAAATACATCTTTTTTATTGTTTATGTGGTTTAGGTTGAGAATTGAGCATTCTGGAGAAGATCCCTTTTGTAAACATGTCAGAGATGTTGATGTAATTGTTTTTCATTGTCGGAATGCTAGTTAGCAAAATGTTCACTTTGGTAGCAGTGGAAGGCCCATAGCTAATCTCTGACATAACAAGTGGTTAAAACCAAAGACAGGCGGGATACAGGAATTTTGTTTTTCCTTTGAATTGGTGACTTCAAAGCTAATTCATTGAGTGTAAGTGTGAACATCCCACTGATTTTTCATTTTGCCTTGCATTACAGAAACATTCTTGGCCAGAACATGGTTCTCCCAAAATTGAGCTTCCGCAGACGGCCATCAAATTGGAACGTGATCATGTTTCTATACCAAGCGATGGAACTGATGTTTGGGAACTGGATCCAAGATGTCTTAAGTTTGAAACCAAAATTGCATCTGGTTCATATGGTGACCTGTAAGTAAATGAACTCCTAGACAGATGAACTACTGTGCGAATATGTGCTCTAACCTTTTTGTTGGAACCTCAGGTACAAAGGTACATACTGCAGTCAGGAAGTGGCAATCAAGGTTCTGAAGCCTGAACGTGTAAATTCAGACATGCAAAAAGAGTTTGCACAAGAAGTTTTTATTCTGAGGTTTGTAACTTTAGCCTGGGGTTTCACTTGATAGTTTTTCCAGTTTGTTCAATCAGAATTACCGTGCATTTTTTGTGAATGCGTGCGTGCTTAACTTTTTCCGTGCCTGACCATGTTATAGTATTGCCTGTAATTTAACATGTGGATCCTACGCAAATTCCATCTTTCTGGAGTGCTTATTCTTTGCATTTTCTGTTACACCACGGTATATACATGAGCTTATGTATTTAGACGTCATTGTGCATCGTGTAAATATATGGTTGTATTTGTTCAAAATTGTCACAAATTAAGCAGTATGCAGAATTTTTTGTAATTTCTCAGTAATTAAAACATTCTTCTATTTCTCTCCTTCTCACGTGTCTTGTGAGAGAGTCCATATTGCATGTTGATTGTGGAACTTTCCCCATATCTTCATCTCCTTTCTGCACACACTTATCTGGTGGCTCTCGTGTAAAAAATGTTTTGTCTCTCTCCACATGTTCTCATAAGCCTGTCATCATTCAGGAAAGTGCGGCACAAGAATGTTGTTCAATTTATTGGTGCATGCACAAAACCTCCGAGCTTGTACATCGTGACAGGTAATAATCCAGAATGAGGAGTTTTTTTTCCTTTCTTCGAGATTTCTTGACTACCCTCTTTCTGAGATTGCTTTTCTATCTTTCATCTTCTCCCAGAATTTATGTCTGGTGGAAGTGTATATGATTATCTTCATAAGCAGAGAGGTGTTTTCAAGCTTCCTACCTTGTTGAAAGTAGCGATTGATGTCTCCAAGGGAATGAATTACTTGCATCAAAATAATATCATTCATCGGGATTTGAAGGCTGCCAATCTATTGATGGATGAAAATGAAGTAAGGCAATAGCTTTTGTGTTGCTTATGGTTTATTGGTTGCATTTTTTTACAACGTGGATTGTTCATAGCAACAAAGGTGAGGACCATATATACCTATTCATGAATTATCATTTGTCATTTAGGGTGTTTTATTCTAATATCATTCTTTTCTGCCCACATACCTGTCGGGCTTAAAGTACTATGAAATTCTGCTTTATTTTTTTAAGGACTTTGTTGGGCATTAATCAAACACCCACTTATAGAAAGTTTGTCATTTCTAATGCATTGTCTGTCTTGTTGTGGGTTTTCTTGGCAGGTTGTTAAGGTTGCTGATTTTGGGGTTGCCAGGGTGAAAGCACAATCTGGAGTCATGACTGCAGAAACTGGAACATACAGATGGATGGCTCCTGAGGTTATTCCCATGAAGTTTTTTGATGTGGAGCTGTTAGCAATGATTTTTGCCTCCATTATGTTTATCTTGTTCATTACTTCTTGCCTGTTGTTCCGTGGATTTCTTTACTTGTTCAAAACTTCTCAGAGTTCATTGCTTTTCAATGGTTGTTCATTCTGGGATTTGCTAAAATTTCACATTCTTTCGAGGATTTTCATCCATAAAAATCACCTCAATCATGTAGTTAGCTTGGACCTCACATTTAGGGAATTGAGAGAGAGTACTACTTTTCATTTTCCGGATGTGCTAATGCGGTGTTTTCTTACACCCATTCTATTTTGCATTGAAGGTAATAGAACACAAGCCATATGATCATAAAGCTGACGTATTCAGCTTTGCAGTGGTGTTGTGGGAGTTACTAACAGGGAAGGTAATATGAGTTGAGTACGTTTAGTCTATGCAGCATGCTTCAACCGTTTCCTTGTCTTGATTTGTTAGCATTTCTGTGTTCCAGCTTCCACATGATCACTTAACCCCATTGCAAGCGGCCGTTGGAGTGGTTCAGAAGGTACAATACAACTATTGCTCATAATGTTCTAATGTCACATCACCTGAGTGAGCCTGAGCGGCTAGTCAGGTTTTATGTTCTATTAAGCTCTTGTGAAGTTCTCAAAGTTCCGCATGGAGTCCTTTTATCGGAACCAAATCAGGGAAATTCTTAGGCTTTAGCACAATCATGTTTATGAGTTATGCATCGACGTCAAGATTCAGGATGCCAAGTCCTCACTAGGCAGAAAATTTCCTTGTTACCGGTAAATCTTTTAGGAGCGAAATTTTTCTTTATCGGTAAAGCTTGTGTTTTATTTCAAATCACATCAAGATTCAGGATGCCAAGTCCTTGTTAACCAGAAAATTTTCCTTGTTACCTCTAATTTTTTGGGAGGGAAATTTTTCTTTATTGATAAAGCTTGCGCTTTATTATCTTATTTCCCATACTTCAGGGCCTGCGGCCTACAATTCCAAAAGACACCCATCCAAAGCTTGTGGAGTTACTGGAGAGATGCTGGGAGCAAGATCCAGCTTCAAGGCCCGACTTCTCTGAAATAATAACCATCTTACAGAAAATTGCAAAGGAGGTGAGTTGTTAGTCTGCAGATTGTGGAGGTGGCTCATAACGTTAGTGAACATGGTTATCTAAAAAAATTTCTAAGGTGGCAAGCAAAAGCATGTGAACAAGACCACCTTTTTCCGAGCTAGCAATTGGACATTATTTTGCTTTCCATCAAATTTTGTGTGATTCAAGGGCCTTATTTCCCTAACCTTGGCTTCGCCCTAGCTGCGGCCTTGGCTTCCTTGAGATCCTAACCTCTCGCCCAAGATAGCTGTATCCCTGTTTGGGTAAATCTCAATTTAAATTACGACGTGAACAGGTTGGAGATGATGGAGATGAACGGCGGAGGGAGAAATCAGGGGGATTCCTGTCCGTGCTCAGGCGAGGGCATCATTGAAGGGCGCAAGGGAGATAGAATTATATTACTCATTGGCTTTGTACAGTATGTGTCCACATGATAAGCTATCTTTCCATAATCTCTTACAAATTTTTTTCCTTTTCAATTTTTGACTAGTTAATCCACAATGCAATATCCATCCTAGCATCGTCTGAGAAAGGAAGTGATGTTGAATCGAGTGGCTATAGCAAAAGGATTTTTTTTTTACTTTCTTGCGGCTGTACAATAACAAATTGATGCGGTGGAAAAAACTCATCCTTTTCTATTCTAGTGGCAAAATTATCGGCAAAGTTTTGGTTTTTACCAGATTGAGGTCTTTTGGAGCCTCCAAGATAATAACAGTGCATGATGGATTACATTTGGGCGGGGTTGATGACCCCATGCCAAAGTCATATAGACCTGTTGGGTTTGGTCTTTCTGTAGCTGCCGTATGAATGTTGAGTGCCGTTTGAGCTTAGTTCACTTGCGCTTAATCATGGTTGTCAACTATAGCTAGATATCGTGCATCGTGTCTATCGTCGCGAGGAGACTGCAGCATTATAGCTTTCGCCAGCTTAACAGGCAATCATGTGAGTGTCATTGACAATTACAGAAGAACGTCTTTTCCAGTTATCAGCGATATAACTTGCCCCATCAACAAGATAGAAAGCTTCCATCACGATTTCTAGCTCAAATCTCTTCATCAATGGACTGGACCGATGATGGTAAGCAAAGCGAACCTGAATAAATCAGCTTTAAGTTTCTGGGTTGAACGAGACCTCGGCTTGAAAAAGCACGCATTTCCATTAGAGTTTCACGGTGGCGCTTCTTTTTGCCTACTTATGCAACATGCACCTTGTAGGATACTAAAATTCTGTGGCCCAAAAACTTGATCCTTGTCCGCAATTGGTATATTTTATCGGTGGTTTTTCCAATGTGTTAAGAATGAATTTAGAGAGGTAACTTTTTCACAACAGGCAAGATGGTTGGCCTTATCGTAAATATATCACCTATTTTTCACGAGGTCACAAGTTCGATTCATATCGTGAATGAATCTCCGGACAGCTATCGACCCATCCAAAAGATAGGAAAACTTTCGCTATTGCATCAACTGGGTTTTTGGGTAGATGTCGCGGAGAACAAGCGGCGCGCCCCACCCGCCGCTGGACCTAACCAACTTAAGCCCAAGTCTTGATCGAGATACACACGCTGAACATCATAAAAAGCATGAACTCCGCTACCGAATCATGGCCATTGTGAAACCTAGGACTCGTTAGCTTCCACTCCTTTTGCTTCCCGCCGGGGAGAAATGGAGAGGCTCTTTATGAGGAGAAAATATTAGGTGCCTGGGTTTCTCCTTTACGAGAGCCGCCCATCAGGTCGTGGCCACACTCGGCGAGAGACGACGTACAACTTGTGACTCCTCGTCTGCGGGACCTATTAAATGGATCTCGATCACTCGATCATGTTCTGTGATACTTTGAGAGAAATACAAACTATGAATGACACCATCAAGCAAGGTTGATGATTATCAGGTTATGATCGGCTCTCTGGTTACTCCAAAGTAGTTGCCAAATAATCGTTTCGCCTACGATGAGTAGGATCAAAGCACAGTGGCACGACGGTAATAATACGGAGAAAGGAGGGCGGTTTCTTTGTTTGGCGTGACAAAGCTAAAAAACCATGCACGAGAAAGCGCGGAAGCAAGCCCGGCCTCCCCCTGTTTCTACATCTTCTTCTTCCTTCCTTCTTTTCGCACTTCTTCTACGTCGCCACTTGTCCCTTCTGCAGCAGAGAGCTACGATCTCTCTCTCTCTCTCTCTCTCTCTACACGAGACATCACTGACCTTTGAACGCGACTGACGGGAAAAGCCCATTTCTTCAGCAATTTTCTCTCTCAACGCAACACGTCCAAGAACTCCTTCTCGATCCAACAATCACAGGGATCATCGCCATTTCTGGGGAAAGATAAAGATAGCTCCGGGAAATAAGATTGCATTCTCGACATGGAGTCCTTCAAGAAGTCGTTCAAATCCCACGGTTCCTACAAGCACGCGAGGAGGCTCTCCGCCGGGGGGACCCCCAACTCCTCCACCAGCCACGAGGAGCTCCCCATCCTCTCCGATCTCCCCCTCGATGACGGCGGCGGCGATGATGTGGACCGCCATCACTGTCGGCAGGCACCCGATCGCCCTGACCGGAGCGACGTCGTCCTCAAGATCGTCGACAGTGTTGACAACAACTGCATGATGTCGAGGGAAGCCAGCGTTATTTCGTGGAGGGACGGGATGTCGGAGGGGGACAATGTCGCGAGGAGCGGCGGCAGTGATGATCCGGTACATCGAGGGAAAGAGATGGACGATCCGCCGTCGAAGCTGATCAAGCAGTTCTTGACGAAGCAGGGCGCCTATGGTGGTGAGGTCTCTCTGGACATGGACTTGGAGATGGACGAGTTGCGCCAGGAAGCCCGAAACGATAATTACAGCAACAAGCACATGCCTCTGGTTTCCGAATCGCCCGCCAACCCGACCCGGTCCAGAGACCTCAAGGTGTCCTTCGACCAACACTCGGGGAGCCTGGCCGATCCCCAGCCTGAGACACCCAGGATGGGCCAACATGGGGATAAGAGCTCGCAAAGCAGCAGGGACGACGACGAGGATTGCCATGAGGTCTTGAAATGCTCGTCGAACGTGTCGTTCCAGCGGAGGCAGAGCCTTCTGCGGATGAAGACCCGGTCCCGCCTGATGGACCCTCCTGAGGAGCCTGAGCGAAGGTCGGGCCAGATACCCAAGTCAGGCCAGTTCCGATCCGGGCTTCTGAGCTTGCTCGGGGATGACGAGGACGATGACCTGCTGTCGGATGAGGACTTGCCGGAGGAGTACAAGAGGGCCAATTTCAGTGCAATCACTCTGCTGCAATGGGTGAGTCTGATTCTGATCATTGCTGTTTTCGTCGTCACTCTCGCGATCCCGGCGTTGAAGAAAAAGAGCCTGTGGAAGCTCAGCCTATGGAAATGGGAGCTCATGATCTTGGTCTTAATTTGTGGTAGATTAGTCTCAGGTTGGGGAATCAAGATTATTGTGTTCTTCATCGAGAGGAATTTTTTCTTGCGAAAGCGGGTTCTGTATTTCGTGTATGGCGTTCGGAAGGCGGTCCAGAATTGCTTGTGGTTGGGGCTAGTCCTGATTGCTTGGAACTCGCTGTTTGACAAGAAAGTCGACAGAGAGACGAGCGGCCACAGCCTGCGGCACGTGACCAAGGTCCTGGTGTGTCTCTTGGTGGCTACTCTGCTGTGGCTCGTCAAGACCCTGATCATCAAGGTGCTCGCCTCGTCGTTCCACGTGAGCACATACTTCGATAGGATCCAGGAGTCGCTGTTCAATCAGTACGTGATTGAGACGCTGTCTGGCCTGCCCCTGGTTGAGATACAGAGGGGGGAGGATGAGGAGGAGAAGATTGCAGATGAGCTCCGGACTCTGCAAAATGCAGGGGCCAATGTGCCCTCTGAGCTCCGGGCAGCCGCATTCTCTACGTTGAGGAGTGGGAGAGTGGTTGGGAACGGCGGGCTCCAGAGGAGTTCGCAGCTCCACATGAAGAGCATGAAGTTCTCTCGGGTTCTCTCGGGGAAGGGCGATGAGGGGTTCTCGATAGATCACTTGCACAAACTCAATCATAAGAACGTGTCGGCCTGGAACATGAAGAAGTTGATGAAAATCGTCCGGCACGGGGTCCTCTCTACTTTGGATGAGCAGGTGGTTGATACTGCCTACGAGGATGAATCAACCAACTTGATAAGGAGCGAACACGAGGCTAAAGCTGCCGCAAGGAAGATCTTCCAGAATGTCGCAAAACCTGGCGCCAAGTATGGCTTTTAATATACATCGATAAACAAGAGATGAGCGAACTTAGAATATACAGTGAAGCCTTTAACAGTGACTACAGTTTGGCATTTGATCTTCCCGAGGGTGTCTGATAAACTCAGGCATATTTATTCATCATATCCTAATCTGAGTTCTTCTTCCAGATATATAACCTTGGAAGATCTTCTGCGCTTCATGAAAGAAGATGAAGCCTGGAAGGTGATTGATCAGTTTGAAGCAGCTGCCGAGAGAAAGAGGATCAGCAAATCGAGCCTCAAGAACTGGCTGGTAAGTATTAAGCACGAGCACGACATCGGCTCACAATCTTGGATTATTTCCTAGGATTCGCTCGATTAATGTTTAGGATGTGATCCAGCTATGCCTCTTTGTCTTAGGTCAATGTTTTCAGAGAGAGGAGAGCCCTTGCCTTGACCCTGAACGACACGAAGACGGCCGTCAATAAACTGCATCATGTGGCCAATGTGATCGTCGCCGTCGTCATTGTGGTATTCTGGCTTCTCATACTCGGGATCGCCACGAGCAAGTTCTTGCTCTTCCTCAGTTCTCAACTTGTCCTTGTGGCGTTTATATTCGGGAATACCTGTAAGACTGTATTCGAGGCCATCATCTTCTTATTCGTCATGCATCCATTCGATGTTGGTGACAGATGCGAGGTTGAAGGGATTCAGGTGAATTAAAGATTATTATTTGCGTACTACCATCAATTTTTTTTAGGTGATTTTTACTGTCTTACTTGTGTTTCGACCCTTTTCAGATGGTCGTGGAGGAGATGAACATCTTAACAACTGTCTTCTTGAGATATGATAATCAGAAGATCATGTATCCAAACAGCACTCTTTCCACAAAGTCCATTGGCAACTACTATCGGAGCCCGGACATGGGTGACGGGGTCGAGTTCTGCATCCATATATCGACTCCGGCGGAAAAAATCGCTCTTATGAAACAAAAGATAACCAGGCAAGTGAAAGCTAAGCAAGACCACAATTTATTATGACATGCCTATTCTTGTTAACTTCTTATTCCATCCGAGTTATCCGCTAATTGCATTGCTAGTATGACATAGCGATTGCACGTTTCCATTTTATTACTTGGTGCAAAGAGGCGTTCACTGATCATATCATTTTCGTTCTGCCACCGCAGCTACATCAACTGCAAGAAAGAACACTGGTGTTCATCTCCAATGATCATAATGAAGGACTTGGAGGAGCTCAACCGAGTGAGGATGGCGGTTTGGATCTGCCACAAGATAAACCACCAGGACATGGGAGAGAAGTGGGCAAGAAGGTCCCTTCTGGTGGAGGAGATGGTCAAGATCTTCCGAGAGCTCGATCTCCAGTACCGCCTGCTGCCCCTCGACATCAATGTCCGCGCGATGCCATTCGTGAGCTCTACCCGTCTCCCCCCGGCTTGGACAGAAAATGGGAGCTAAAACGCGACCGAAGCAGGAAAACCCCGAGATTTTGCAGACCGAATTTTTTGTTCTTTCAAAATTTTGTCCCTGGTAACTCGTGAACCCCTCAGCAGAAACAGGAATAACGGAGTATAATCTTGGCGCGCCCAAGCAACAATACTGCTGCTTGATAGTGAGTTTGTAGATACTTTTCTCTCGCGACTACTATGTCGCGACAATCACCAATAAAAGAAAGCACGGCTGCTGAAAGGTCCTTTCTTCTTTCGAACGGTATATGCTCCGATAAGCAATGACTAGTTAGTAGGCTTCGGCTTTCCGCATACTATCTGCAACTGCGTCTCGATGGTGGTGATGGAGGACATGTTCGGGCAGCCCGTCAGGTGGAGTTCTTGATCTGCTCATTAGAGCATGCTGTGGAGCTGGCAATATTTGCAGCCTGCTTTGGTTTTTACAATTGTGAACCTTGCCAAAAAAATTTTGAGCCAGTCTCCCAGGACCAACATGCCTTGGCAGACCTCCACATATTATCTAATGCAGTCGTTCCTACGTCTCCATTCCCTCGGCAATGTAGCATGGTGTCCCGCAATGGAGCCAAAAATTGACGTTTTTTCATGTTCCTTTCGGATGTGGCGGTCACCCGCTTGCGTATACCGATTAGCTATCGGAGTACGCCGGCCCGTGCTTCCGAAGATAAGATTCCAACTCGAACTCGGGTCGAGCGGGGAAGTTGGACGTGTTCAATTCTAGGGTACTTCATTAAAAATAAGTTTTGGTGCAAAATCTTCGTAAGTAAACTTGTCGTTGCGTTATTTTTACGGACAATATTGTCATTGAACTTTTCTTGATGTCCCGTTTTCTTTTTTTTTTTGTGCAAAAAATGCACACAAAAAAAAAACGAGTACTAGTGAGTCAGTCTCCTTGTCGGAGGCGCTTTGGTACGAAAAGCGGCAACTTTGTCCTCTCCTTCTCTCTCTTATATTTCGAAATTGAGAGGGAAGACGCTAGAGCAACGCTCTGCTCCCCCCCCCGTCCGTACTCCGCAGTCGCCGGGGACGAGAGAGGGAGGCGTGATCGCGTGCGTGCGTGGCGGCGACGGCGGCGGCGGCGGCGATGGGGTCCCGTAGAAATCTGTCGAGCCTGGTTCACGAGCTTCGGGAGCGCATCGCCGCCTCTTCGTCGACGCCTCCAAACGGCGACGGCTGCGGCGGCGGCGGCGACGACGCCCTGGAAATCAGGTTCCGAGCTGTTCTCCCCAATCTCCTCCACGCCTACGTCGTTCCCTCTCCCTCCGGTACCTCCTCTCTCTCTCTCTCTGTCTCTCTCTCTCTCTCTCTCTGCGTGTGCGCGCGCGCTTGAGTGAGTGTGTGTGATTTGGTTGAGGAATCGAGCTACCGCATATCATCCGTTCGTTGATATTTCGATGTGGAGGCGAATTTCTGAGCAATGCCCGCTCCCTCGGTTTTGTGCTCTGAGCCTTGCTCTGGCTGGTGCATGCTCATGTAAAGCCTAGAACTGAATACAAGTATATGATTGCATCGATGTTGCGTGTCTTCAGTTCAATGATCAAGGAATCGTATTCTGGTGCTGGTGTTAAAAGGATTGAATTTTCGGCAAGTTTGGGTTCATTTCGTGTGGCAATCAAGCTTTCACTACTGGATTGCTTATTGAGGGATTGGAATTGGAATTCTAGTAATCTCGTGGACTCTAATCCTTGAGTTGTTGCTGAGCCTGCGGAAAAATAGAAGGAAGCTGAATGAATAGGCCTGTGATGTTTACTTCCTTTGGAACAAAAATTCAACTGGCTGAAGCGAGTATAAAATTGGCTTGATTAAAGTTTTATTTTTTTGGGCCAAATTGGAAAGCTTAGTTTGCCCCGTCAAATTGATAAAATAACTGCGAAGTAACAATCTTTGTTTGCATTTCCTGCTTTGTATGTTAAGTGATGTGAACAGTCTTTATCAGCCATTGTATTGGTATTTTAGTTCTCATTGTCTTTGTATCTCTTCTAGCGAATGAGAGAGAAGTTATAGCTGTATTGAAGCTCATCTCTCACACTGCCAGAAATTTTCCTGGGGTATTCTACCACGGGAAAGCAAGTGCTGTTCTACCTGTGATTGGCCGGATCATTCCCTTCTTTGCAGAGCCAGCATTACGGTGAGATATTCTGAAGTTCTTGTTTGGTAACCTACAATTTATCTCGCATAAGATAATCTGCTCTTTATCAGTCTAAAGTCTGCTGTTTTGGCTTTGTCTTTAGAAGGAGATAATTCCGGCAAAAGTACTTTTTTGCATTTTGTGCATCCTTAATGCTAAAAGGGAGCAATTATTCAGGAGCATAAATGCACAGTGTCTTGGTTCTCTGTTTTGGTTTGCTAATATAGTTACTTAAACATAGTTGACTCTTTTCCTTGTGAAAATCTTCTTATGTACGATTCTCTTCAGTTTGCTTGTTTTATGCTAAGCATTTTTCCTATGGTAAATCTTTGATTAAAATTATTATTTTTTCCAATTATTCCAGCAATCGACATGGAGTAATTTTTGAGACAGTTGGATCTCTTTTGTCCTTGCTCCGGACTGGAGAACGAGATGCCTACCGTCAGTTTTTTGTGGATACGATGGTAGCTGTTGAAGGTAAGAAAGCAGCCGCTTCCATTCATTTGTCAAAGAATCGACGTGATCTCTAATTACTTGGATGGTGTTAGTTGGGCACTTCTATCTTTCCTGGGGATACTTATATGACCATGCTTTGGTTGGTGTTGTATCATAATTCATAAGCATCTCTTTTACTGAACCTATGACAATCATATGCTTTTCTCTTGCCAGATATATTACATGCAGCATCCCTCTATACAGATGAATCAAGCATTTCTGAATGCACTGGATTGAATTTAAGGTGTTTCAGCGGGTCATTTACTGGTATATTTGGCGATCCAGCTTGCTTATGTGATCTTCCAGCAAGTAATAAACCGAATGACGGATTTGGCCTTTTGATGAACCTTTCTGCTAAAAGCAGGTGGCAGTACTTTGCGACTTGGATGGTTAAGCTTCTGAGTAAATGCTTAACAGAGGGAACTGTATTTGTAGAAGGTCTCCTTAGTTTGTCTTTTGTATCCTCAGCATGTTGTCTCTTATGTTATGGAGATGGTGACTTGCAAATGGTAAGCTGCCATTTTGTCATTTTATTATACTATGCAGGTAGCTTCTCAGATGTTTACAGTTTTTCTTCTGGTCCAGATATTTGCCATAGAGGTCTCTGATTAATTTTGTTTTTTTGAAGGCATGTTTTGACTTTGCACGCATCATTGGATCGGCAGTAAGCTATGATATAGTTCCTTATGAGAGTCTCATTCAGTCGATATCAGCAATATTGAGTGAGGACAAAGATGGACTTTCTGTATTCAGGTATTCCATTGTTGTCTGTACTTAGTTTCTTGGTTTAGCTGATTTTGGAAGAGCTCGCATCCAGATTCAAACCGCTCTTAGCTCAGTTTCTGAGAAGACTTCTGGAATATACAGTTGATATACATGCAACATATGTGATATATTAGATGCCTTGGGATCTCTCAGCAGCAAGGCCATCACAGTTTTTTGCACTGTAGTAGGTAGCATTATTATTGTGGTGAACAGTCCATATTCCAGGGGTTATAGACTGCATTTTCATCTTCACCTTCTCATTTCTAGCAGATTTTGGCCCGTGTCTTGCTTTTATGGCAGCTACTCCTAATGATCTCTCCTAACATTTCTTGGAATGTTTGGACTGGAACTCATTGCAGGAACAAATTTTATGATGCTTCAATTGGCAATTGTCTGGATGCACTCCACCCCTATTGTCCTGATGATGTTGTCAGATACACAGCTTCAGAATTAATTAGTGTCTTCCCCCTGTCAGTTTTCAGGACGAGGAGCTCAGAGCTTAAGGTTAGTAACCTATCTTGGCAAGCTTGGTTGTTTTCTGCTGGCACTTGCATTGGCCTGCATCTTCCTGTTGACGAGGTAAAAAATTTCAAGGAGCATTTGATAATCTAATTTGGAAATTTTCAGGTTGCTTTATGTAATGCATACGTGAGGATTGCTAAAATTTGCCCACCTTATATCTGGAGACCAGATTATCTTATTCAAATGATTTGTTCTCCAGAACCTTGCTTTCTGTTGATAAGATGCCTGCAAGTAGCGCTGTCAATTCTTAGTCCTGATCGTGTCGGAGGCCAAATTACAGATGAAAGCTGTCCAGATTTGTTAATCTCGTCCGATGATTCTACCGAATTTTCAAGTATTGGAGGGAAAAGGAGATCCTCTGACGATGGGCAAGGTTTTAATGTCAAACGCCAAAAGGTTGATCATACAAGTGAAGCTCCTGCCTCTAAGATCTTAGCAGAACACAAAGTGGTTCATCTGGCTTCCTGTGAAAGCGAAAGAGGCTATGCCTACTACGTTCACACTTTGATTGTTTCTGTGCTTGATCTATTAAAGTTGCCGGCTGTTAAACCTGGTTCTTTAGAACCGGATGTCGCGTTAAGAGCCCTTAGTATGCTTAGCATTGCCTTCTGTAGGGTCCCAAAGACCAGTCTTTCATTGTCCACCTTTCGGCAGATGATTTCATGGATCCCTTGGATATTTGAGGAGGTAGGATAACAGTTTTCAGTTTCTTTTCATTGTCTACCCGTCTGCTGATTGTTTATTGCATTTTGTAGGAAAAGCAAGGAAGATCCATTGTGCTTGATATCACCATCTACCTGGAAGCGATTCACAGCATGTTGCTTGTACAGAGTATGACATGCACCCGAATCCCGTATATATGTGGAAGATCTAGGTTTTGCCAATGCAGTACAGATGCTTCTTTCTAAGCAGTGGATGGTGGATTGATACATAATAACTATATGATTAGATTTGCAGGAAAGCAAAGACAACACAGAACAGCTTCTTTCTCTTAAACTGAAATTGGCTTTTTAAATTTCTCATGGTCTTGTGGCTGATGTAAATGATGAAATTTTGAAATCCCAACAGTCATCTCTTACATGTAATTGAACATTGGATATAAGGAACGATGAAAATTTACGAGGATTCCAAATTGATCAAATGCCTCATTAAACAAGACACAGATTGCCCATTCATGCCTTTGTGGACTCTAGTTAGTGTTAGTCCAAGTAATCAATGCATGGTGATCCCATTATAAAAGCCCAGTTAATTTGTCCTGACCCTGCTCCATACCTTGGAATTATTTGAGTGGGGAATGTCCCTAGTTCTCTTGC